ATGCTGCGTTACAGAATGCAATTGTGCTACTGCATATTCCAATCAGATCTTAACATTTCTAAGTTTGGGTATACAAGCAGTTTTATTTCGATAACATTGAAAGTCCTAATCTAGTGTATACAGTATAATAGTTTATTGTTGTATGAGAAAGCATGACAATTACGCTTTAAAATAGTTAAACAGAACTTACTGAGTTTTGGACAACTATTAAAAGCCTATTGGATCTGAAATCATACTATAACTTTCCTCACTGTGGATGTATTGGCATTATTACCTTCAGCATTCCCCAGCAACATAGCCAAGAGAATTTTGGAAGCTACAGCTACAGCCTCTTCCATCTGGAGAGGAACTGTGTGGAAATTGTGTCATATAGAAGTTCCATGGATATATTCTAAGAGAAATCTGAACCTGATATGAGTACTGAGTACATAGTAAAGGCTACCTAGAAGAGAGGAGCCTATCTCACATAAAAAGTTGCTACTTGGTCCCGTGTTCTCCACCTTTCCACCAAATCAAAATATGGATTGTGCAGAAGACCAAGGATGAATCCAGGTAGACCAGTGGTTCTCAACCTATGGTCCTTGGTGGGGGGGCACAGTGTCATCACAGGGGGTCCGTGAAGGCTTGAAAAGTTATTATTTAAAGCTTGAGTTAAGTCTGTGGCCACAAAAGGTTTTTAAAAGGAGTCTGTGATGAAGAAAAGGTTGAGTACCACTGAAGTAGACTATAATATACTTTGGCATAATGCATTCAGAAGTCTCTTTGGAGCTATTCTATTTTTTCCCTCTTTCATAAATTTTTTTCCCTAAAAGAAAAGATCAATGGTGTCATATAAATTAATAATAGAATACAGTGTTTTTGTCACCCTATGTAATATCCATTGATCACCTAAGGTTATAAAGATCTTCTCCCCTGGTGTATTAAGTTGTGATAGATCAGAGGAATAATGGATTAATAGGGACAGTGAAATTTGCTATTTTAGCATCACAATATCTTCTATACAGTTTAATAAATCTGTTACTTGAGCAACGTTTGGTTTGGTAATTCCCCTGAAATCATTGCATTTTTTCCATTTTTGTTTTAATAAAATAGCACGAGGAGCAGTAATGGCTTCCAGTCCTAAGTATCTGCTCTATTTTTAGATGCTAGTAAAAAAACATCCTTATTTTCTTTTCAAAACTTGAATCTAATCTATTTTTATTGAAAAACCTGCCTAAAGCTTACTTGATAGGTAAAGGATAATTCCAGAAACATTACAGAGACAAACTATCATAAACACTTTCATGTTATTTTAGAAATTTGTAAAGCCTCTCTGTTGAAATCTGATCAAGCATATTATCATTTGGGGGGTGGGGGTGTTTTTTTTGTTTGTTTTTGTTTTTGCTTTTTACACTTTTGAAATGTTTTATATTGATTAATGAGGAGATAATGTTATTTGTATTCCAAATTTGTATGAAAATGTAAATGGAAAGTATTTCAACCATGTTTAGAAAAGTTGAGACATGTTTTCTGCTGTGCTGTGATAACTCTGTGCCAAAACTACTAGTGTGTGAACAGAATATAAAATTTGTATGGAATGTGAAATGTTCCACTTCTGCATGGCAAGACCTTTTTTGTTATAGTATTTACTTTTTTCATTATAGTATTTAATTATGTGATGTCTTGCTTCATTCATTTAATGGTTTGCATTTTTAATTATTCACAGGACACCAAAATGTAATCAGCTTTTTTTTTTTTTTTTTACAATTTGGTGTCATAAATCCTAATTTGTTGTGAGCTGTTTTTCTTTGCTTCTCTTTGTTTCCATTTTTGACTTTACAATAAACGTGATGACACTAAAAAAAAAAATTATACACAAAAAGCCTGCGGCCGTGATTAAAAACATGATGTTTACATGGGGTACCTAATGATATATCTGCACCAACTTTTAATCTGAGCTTTGTCACCAAATGCATCACAAATGTCCCTTATTACAGTTATTTCCCTTCAGTGTTAATTCATGCATAAGAAGGATGTCATAATCATTCCTACATTAAAACAATTTAGAAACAATTCAAATAAATATATACAGACATGTGCACAAAAAGCTGAAAAGGCTATAACAATATAAATGCATCATGGGGAGATAACTATGGTTATATGAGTAATTCATTTATGATTGTTTAAAGTTACAATGAACTTCACTTAATTACCATGTGACTTGCTTAACAACCACATGATTTGCTTAATGATCACAGTGACTTGATTTATGACTCATAAAAATGGATGTAAAATCAAGTCCGTTCATATGGTCCCTTGACTTGTGACCACAACAACTTTTGATTAAAATTCTGGTCCCAATTATGACCTTAAGGTCTATCTATATTGAAAATAATTCTCAACAGTTTCACCCTATATCAGTGGTGGGTTCCTCCCGGTTCAGTCCGGTTCGGCCGAGCCAGTAGCGGTGACGATATGACATCACCGAACTGGTTCTCCCCCCCGCCCTCCCCCCCACCCATGTTATTCTTACCTTTTATTTGGTCCCACTCCCAATCTATTGCTGCCTCCTGAGTCCCAGCTGATGACTACAGGGAAAAAAACTGTTTAAACTCTTGCCGCGGGGCCTCAAAGGGCCGTCCTACAGCTGATTAGTGTTAAAAGCAAACAAATGAGTCGGATCATAAGTGCGAGGACTGGTCGTAAGTGCGAGGACCTTCCAGAAATGACTCTGACCAGCTAGCCACGCCCATTTAGTCACATGACCTCCAAGCCACACCCACAAAATAAGCCATGCCCACAGAACCGGTAGTAAAAAAAATTTAGAACCCACCCCTGCCCTGTATGGCCAATAGTGAAGGATGCCAGGAATTGTAGTTCTGCAACATGAATACTCTGAATACTCTGAAGTAATAACATTGAATTTATAAGAAATATATAGAGTGGGCAATGTATTTTTGTAACCACTCTACATTGCTCTAAGCAATCAACTACTGTGTATAATTGATATGGAAAGGCATACAAATCATGATTGGGCCTACTATTTATTACAGGCATCTGTCTGCTGCATTTCAGATTGAAAGACAGCACATCTTCTAAACATGTTATAGATTTTTTTTACACACGAGGCTGAGGAAGGCTATAATATAGAAGCTATGTCAGCCTACAGAAGTGTTTGGGGACCTCACCTCCTTTCTAAAGTGATTGTTCTGAGTGAAGAGAATTTGCAGGCAAGGTCTTCTAGAAACTTTAAGGAAGTTTAAACTTCAGCTTGGAACTTACAAATGTATACATATTCTCCAAAGAATTTTCCATGATGTACAAGCCATATGATATAGTGGTTAAGATACTGGAGGTGTTAAAGTCACCACTTGATTCTAACTTGACTATGAAAATGATTTGGATAATTTTGGGCCTTTTCCCCAATTTTTAAATCTTTGTATACCTTACTGATTATACTTTTAAATACCAAACCCACTAACAATGAAGAAATCACCATGTTAGTAGTAAGTCCATTTTACTCAAGCTAATAAGCAGTAGTAATTCATGGCTTTTTTCAGAATAACCTGTTGTATTGCCATCCCATGGTTTCCTGCTTTTCTTCATCATTTTGTTGAATATATTAAGTATTAATTGACTAATTTGAATTTAGTCCATCCCCTCTCAAGTTTGTTTCTGTACTTCTGCAGACTGTTTCCCCTACACCCTGAGGTGGTGCTGGTTTCCTATCAAATGAATTCACTCCAGGATACATAATCTATGGGCAAATTTGTATACCACACAGAACTATAATGTCTTGGCACTTACACAGGTAGTCCTCGACTTACAAACACAACTGAGCCCAAAATTTCTATTGTTAAGTGAGAATTTGTTAAGTGAGTTTTGCTTCTTTTTACAACCTTTCTTGCCACAGTTGTTAAGTGAATCACTGCAGTTGATAAGTTAGTAACCTGGTTGTTAAGTGAATCTGGCTTCCCCATTGACTTTGCTTCTCAGAAGGTTGCAAAAGGTGATCACATGACCCCGGGATACTGCAACGGTCATAAGTATGAATCAGTTGCCAAGCATCTGAATTTTGATCACGTGATCATGGGGTTGCTGCAAAGGTTGTAACCGTGAAAAATTGTCATAAGTCACTTTTTTTGAGTGCCATTGTAACTTTGAATGGTCACTAAATGAACTGTTGTAAATCAAGGACTACCTGTATTACATTTACCATGGATTAGTTCACAACCAGGAAACCAGTAAAATCAGTAAAAGCCAACTTTTTTTCTCTATTGATTCAGTTTCAGCTTATTTAACAATCTGTTGTTGTAAACTATCCAGACTTAAACTTAGGTGAGATGGGCAGTGTAAACATTTAATAAATAAAAACAAATTAATAACTCAGTGACACATTCTTTCTGTTCCCCACCATATCACTAGTGTGCGGTAGTTTTCAGAACTGAGTCTCAAGTCTTAAGTGTTCATTTCTTTTGAATGACGTTCTCCATCATTGCAGGATATTTAACAGGCAATCAACTAACCATTCATTACAATTTACATAACTCACACAAAATTGAAAAGCGAATCTCAAACAGCCTCCTCAATACTAAGTTTTGCAAACCTAAATTAGAATTTGTCTAAGTTTAAAGTTCAAATTAGAACTTGACATATTAATTAAAAGCTAACTTACGATAATTTGGTTTACTCCACTTTGAGGTTCTTATGCACACAGAATAGCATCCATTAAAGTTCTGATCTGGCAAATAAATGTAAAAAAATAAAACAAACAAAACGGTGGCCCTGTTAATACCATAAATCACCCAAAATGAGTCAGAATATAAATAACTTGGCTCAATGGAGAAGGGTTTTGTTTCAAAAAAGGGGACATGTCATCTTTTTAGCGGGAACGTATCAGTTCAGTCTTCAAAATTTGCAAAGAACCTGCTAAATAAAAACCGTATATTAAGAGAAGATGAAGAAATAGAGATAAAAAAAGAAAAAGAAACTGCACTTTTAAATGCATATTTCTTACACAGTTGCTGCCATCATTTGATATTGGTGCATGGACTGAAGAAGACGTGGTAAGCAGCCTTTATTAATTAAATCAATATTTTTCCATCTAGCTAAGACATCTTTCATTAAGCAAAGGTCTAAGCCATGGTGGGAAATCTGTCCCTCCCCTATTACTGATGCATTACAAGTCTGTTTATTTCTTATCAAGAGTGTTGGCTATGAGTAACAGGAGTTGCAGTGTAACCACGTCTGACCACAATCTCTCGATCCTTGGGCTAAAACTTTACTTCTGCGTTGTGCAACATTTGCCTGTGGCACCTTCTTTCCTACAATTTAATCTTAAAATGAACAATGAGGAATGGACTGTGAACTTTTTTTTCTTTAAATGTTCACAATGATAGATGTCCAAGTCTACTAGATACGTGGAAGTTCAGAATACTGGCAGGGAGAAAACAATGTAAAGGGAGTCTTAGAAGAAAAGAAGGTGGCCCAGAAAAAGTGTTTGCATAGCATCACTGGAAAAGAGATGTTGGGATGCAAAATCCTATCTAATTTAATTGATATTACTTATTATGTAAAACTTATATGCCATCTGTAGACTCTAGGTGGCTTACAATGTATAGAATAAAGTACAAATTCTGAGGTGAACTGTGGGGTCCTTGGTGTTCTCTGAGCTTGGTTTTGTTTTTGCAGATGTTTTAATACCAAGATAGGTAACATCATCAGTGCTACAAGGGACTAGTCTTGTAGGTTCCTTGATTGGTCTGTTGTTTACTGTCAGCTGTTTACCAATTCAGACAAATAAGATAATAGTAAATAGCCCAATCAAGGAACCATCAAGGCCACTGCCACCAACATTGACAGGGCAAGTCAGTAGCATATAAAATAAGAGCAAACCCCATTCCCTATTCGCACTGACGAGGTTACCTAGTTTGGTAATGAAACACCTGCAATAAAATAACCAAGCGCGGAGAATACCAAGGACCCTGCAAGGTACAAATTAAAATAATAAATATCATTTCAACTATGGACAATTGGACCCCTTCGGGTTAGGTGACATGCCCTGCATCAAAATTCTTTGCAATGGCATAGCTGTAACCCATTCCCATAATGAAAATTGGAAGGAGCCAACTTGAACTTAGGGACAGGGTGTTCTGCAGTGATGGGACTACAATCAAGGAGACCTGTCATGTCTACATTATATTCTGAAGGGGGTGATCTGCATGCTGGCCTCCCACCTGGAATATTGTATATAGGAAGAGTTTTGCTAGAACAGGTAGTCCTGAAGTTAACAAAGGTCCAAGCCATGAAGTAGGCCATAACCAGCACCTTGGATTAGATCTGGAAGACTACAGGCAGCCACTGCAACTCCGATAGAAATGGTGTTACTCTAGTAAAGTTATTCTTCCCCATCAACATAGGCTGCAGCATTTGGTGTTGGCTGAAGCTTCTGAATCAGGGCAGCCTCATATACAGCAAATTACATTAATCTAAACAGTGGTGGGATTCAAGTAATTTAACAACCGGTTCTCTGCCCTAATGATTTCTTCCAACAACCAGTTTGCCAAACTGCTCAGAATGTTAACAATCGGTTCTCCCGAAGTGATGCGAACTGGCTGAATCCCACTACTGAATCTAAAATATCCTGTGCAATCTAACTAAGGATCTTAGTAATATGTGCATCGGTAATAATTTAGAAATTAGCATTTTACTTTTTCTTATATTTATGGTCCTACACAGTGGGATTATTTTGTCTTCAGGCCTACCATTAATATCTTAATGCAAGTTTAAACATATGCTTCATATACAACAGTGGGACATCTTTGCACAGGAAACATTACTCTTAAATTACACACGACTGTGCAAAACATACATATATATTTCAAAGAAGAAATATACGTTTGGTAATTTCTTCCTTACATTATAACTCCTAGAAAGTTTCTTGATTTTTTTATTAAATAAATGGTAATGAGGGCTGCAAACCTCAAGCATATTAAAATGGGGATATTCTATGGAGAGTGTAAGTGGTAGTTGTCTTGGCCAACAACTACCTTTACTCAAGGATCATTTTGGAGACACAATGTGGACTCAAGGGCAAGATCTGATCCATCTCTCATGTTAGATTGCCAATTCATCTTTCTGCTTTAGTCACCATCAGTCTACATCTTCCTTTGAATTGGCAACTGATGAGAGGAGCTGGATTTGGCCCTGGTTGCAAATTTTTAATCTCAGATGTAAGATTAAAGTATGTTATTGTGTTTTTTTACACAATCACTATTCATTTAAACAGCTTTCAGAACCACGTTTTTTTCCTCTCGACATGTTTTCTGATTATATATTCCATACAAAGCTTTTCATGCCTCAGATCATAAAATCAATGTCCTTTTTTCACAGTATTTTTGGATGCAACAGCTCGTTAGAAAAGGTAAGACTCTACATATGTCTAGTTCACAAAAGCTGAATGAATAAATGTATTGTGGTGATAGACTAAGCAAGGTTAAAAGCTCTAATACAACTAGGAAAAGCATATAAAAACCCTTTGAGTTGTCTTAAGTTGTCTTAAGATTCAAAGAAATTTACCTAACTTTTTCAGTAAAGTGAAGAGAACAAACCCGTCAACCGGAATATAGGAATACTAAGGTATCTTTCTCTGATAGATATTACTCAATTTACATCCTCCTTGAGTTGACAGCATGTAATAGAGGAAGCCAATAAAAATTTCAGTTAATATTTTCAACGTAAACTTTTAGAGAAGCAAAGGTTGCAGTGGAAACTGTGTGTAAAATGACTTCTGCTTCCCTGAGTCAGGAAGGAAAACATTGTTCATTTAGTGGGATTTTGTTGAAACAGCACGTTGGCAAAGCAGGGGTATCAAATTAAAGCAAGAATAAAATTTTATAGCAATAACAATAGCGTATATATATATATATATATACACACACCCCACTTATATACCGCTTCAGAGTCTACAGGTTTACAGAGTCAGCATATTGCCCCCAACAATTTGGGTCCTCATTTTACTGACCTCGGAAGGAAGGAAGGCTGAGTCAACCTTGAGCCGGTGAGAATTGAACTGCCAAATTGCTGGCAGTACTGCATTCTAACCACTGCGCCATCACGGCTCATTTATACTAGTGTTCTAAATGATGGGTGTTTATCATTTTCTAAAAATTTGAAAGATTACTGATGGCTGGTACAGAACAAGGCTTGCTTCTTGCTGTTCTCATGTTGGAGATATAAATCACTTGATCACAGAGAATGGAGTCTTTCTTAGGCTGCAGCAAGACCCCAAATCAGTAAAGGAGAATATTTGTAGGTCAGAGTTGAAATGGGGTGTGTGTGTTCCTTGATGCTCTCTAAGCTTGGTTGTTTTCTTGGAGATGTTTCTTTAATCAAATTGGGTAATATCATCGGTGCTAGTAGAACCCAAAGCCCCTTGAAAGAGAAATGCAGCTCACAAAACTTGATCTTTCTATGTCCAGATTTCTGAACAATGTCTTATGATCTTAAGGTGATTCATCTGGCGATATGAGTATATATGCTAGCTTGTTTAAAGAGCATCACATCACAGGAAAACGTTTACTTCTTCTGGAAGAAGATGATTTGAAGGACATGGGAATTGTTTCCAAAGGACACATCATTCATTTGAAGGTACCTAAATTGCAAACTTGGGGTGATCATCAAGCTATGAAAAAGACAGCTTGTTTCTAGTATTAAAGTCTAAAGCTGACAATCTGTGACAAATATAATTCCAGATTTACTAAAATAAAAGTGACTACATACAAAAATATTTCATGAGATGCTGAGATTTCAAGCATGTATTTATGACCATTAATAAATATAACCATAAGTCTTTTTCTTGTATTATTTTGCACAAGACATGTGCAACTTGTCATCACAGAATTGCAAATACATGCAAAAGTAGTTGTGTGTGCAAATTGTAACCTTGATCATGTTTTAAAATCTGAGGGGAAGCAAAGTGTTGGTGAATCAGAGTTCAAATGCCAATCACTTTGGGCAGTGTTATAAAACTATTTTATTTATTTATTTATTTATTTGTTTCCATTTCTATACCGCCCTTCTCCAAATAGGACTCAGGGCGGTGAACAGCCAAAGTAAAAAACAGAACATACAAAATTTAAAAAACAGTTTAAAATGATTAAATATTTTGGCTGTAAATTAAAACAACCTGATTTAAAATCAATTTAAAATTTAACTCAAGCCATCCCAGCTAGTTGAAATAAATAGGTTTTCAGGGCCCGACGAAAAATCCGTCGGGCCCTGAAAACTACTTCTATTAAATAGAACTACTTCTATTAAATTTCTGTAGACACCATGCAGCAAGACCATAGCTTAACAGATAATGCCTGTCCTCAGCATCATCCATCTTATTTAACCAGGAGATTTGCCATTTTATAGTCTGCCTGTAAAACTGCTTTCACTCAGAATCGGTACCACTCTAATCCAGTCTGGCCATTTCTAAGATATTTGCATCTTGATAAGACCCAACCAGGTTTGGATGCTTGGCTCTAACAGCTAGTCTGCATTTCAGTCACCACTGCAAAACTTCACCCACCACTTAAGGCTGATCATGTATCTGCTCTCCAACACCAGCAAGTAAGATTGCTGAGCAACAGAAAGAATAAAATGGTGCTTTAGGACAGGGGTTCACAAATTTTTAAACAGGGGGCCAATTCACGGTCTCTCACACTGTTGGGGGGGAGGACCTGCTGGGTGAGTGTGGCTAGGTGGTCAGGTGACTGGGTGGGCGTGGCCAATTTAGCAGTCCATTAAACAATACACACAAATTAAACTTTAATTTGTTATGCTTCTGGGGGTGGAAAGCAGGTTAGTAAAGGGATGTGGCTGCCTTGGGGGAGGGGGGGGACTTCTGTTTGTGTGGGTGTGGGTGTCTCTCTCTCCCTCCCTTCCTCTCTCTGGAGGCTGGGGTGGCCAAAAATGGGCCCGTTTTTGGCCTCCTGAGGCCTCTGTGTGTCCCGTTTTTGGCCTCCTCGGCCTCCAGAAGGTAGGTGGGGGTCAGCAGATAGGTGGGCGGGGCATCCTCGTGGCCCCGCGTGGGCTGGATTAATGGCTTTGGTGAGCCGTATCCGGCCTGCAAGCCATAGTTTGAGTACCCCTCCTCTAGGAAAAGACTGTCCAGAAAGTGCTTTCTTGTCCCTCAAAAAAGTTGAATATTTTATGAGATTTCTACATGAGAAATTGTTTGCAGCCAAGTCCTGTATTTAACTTTCTATGTTCTTTCCTTCTTAGACTGCCATTGAGAAGCTATGTCAGGATTTCTTCAATATGTTTCATTTTCCACCCCTTATTAAGGTAAGTAGGGTGTGTCCTTGTGTGTCTAATCAGTATTCTATTTTGATTAAATGGGAAATACATGGGAAAAATTTATACTAATATTTGCTAATACTGTCAGCCAAATGTAAAAGACTATCCGGGCTTAACTATCTTGAGAAGAGTCTGCATTTCGTTGTAGCTATTAGAGAACTCTAAATCATTCTATGCTCTTGTTTCATTGGAAAGAAAATATCAATACTGGCAGAAAAGTGGACAATTGATCCAGCTGGGTCAGAGAGTGCCAGGCCCATCGATCTAGACTGGGACCCAATACCATATTACAGAAATTTATTATTAAATTTTCATATAACTTTTAACAACGCTGTATCATTTACCAATTAAACAATCAGCATTCATGCCCAGAATTCTGCAGGGATCTCTATCACCTACAATTTCTTCCAGATGTTTGCTAGGTTCTTAGAGAACACCAAGCCATAGTACAATCAATTTGATTCTGGCTGAAGGCAGTATGTGAACCCATCCATTCCAGTTTAGCATTGATTGTGAGCCATGTAATTTGCCTTGCTGTATAAGCAGTTCTTCAAAAAAAAAAACCAAAAAAAAAACAACACACACACACAACCAAACCCAGTATTGTGAATTAATTTGATGACCCACTATTGTTGCATGATAGAAAAGTAAAATCATGCAATAGGTCTCCCTTTTTCTTGCCATATGACTGGAAGTTTGGAGTCAATTGCAATATTTTATGAATTATGATGTACTGGCTGTAGGGAGGAATTGCTTGAATCAGGTGAGGGAAACTTGCATTGCTAGCTTATAGTTCCAGGTTTTGACAATTTGGTTCAACTGTTACCCACTGATATGCAGATGCAGTACATAAGGTTTTGTAGAACTTCTCAACTTCTTAAGATTTTTTTATGGGAGGCAAACAAAAAAATTCCCTACGAGAAAAGGGGAAGATCAAGAATTAATGCATGAGATTGCCTTCCAGCTGCACAATTCTGGATTTCCCTGTTGGGATTCCTGATCACTTTTGGCCCTGCTGCACAGGGAATATCTGACACCTCCCTTAGAGTTTTACAGGCTTGCTTTTAAAGCCTGAATAACACAACATTGTTTCTTACGCTCAGGATTTAAATTGAGCCAGACTGCTTCAATCATGTGCAAAATGGTGAAATATTCAACTCAAATGATAGCATTGTCTTGAATTTAAAACAACAACGGACATTTGAAGTGAACCAGAATGACTAATTGTTCTTTCTTGTGGCAGGATCCTGCCAGTGAAAATGAGGCCAGTGAGGTGAAAGTGCTGAATCTGGAGCTTGTTTTTGGCTACCATTTAAAACCTGGAAAGGGTCCTCAGGTAAATAAATGAATATTTCCTTTTGTTTATTTCCTTATGAAGCAGAATTAATCTGTCCTTAAAATCTTCACAAGATACTTCTTCATTGTAACATGACTCCTCTTTCTGTTCATTTTGTGGTAAAAATGTAATCACAATGCAGCAAGGTACAAAACTTGTTCTGTCAGACTCACACAGAGCTTTTCCTGTGTAGGCACTTTGGTACAAAAACAAAAATCCTCAGTGTGCAAAACTTGCCTAATTTCGTAGAGATGTCAATAAGTTGAAATTCAAAATGATAACTCATTCTATTGTTTCTGCCTCCCTTTCTCAGAGCTTATCTGTGACTTTATAAAATTGGAAATAGTTGATATATCTAAAGTGAAGAACTGTGATTTAATGTCAGTTTAGGAGCCAGAATGTTAAAATAATTTCAAGCTATGGTTAAGGATTTGATTAAAAGTCTTGATATTAAATGATGTTAAATGATGCTGATGTTAAATTGTAATTCTCCATTACAGATATAACATTTAACTGGGCTTTGTAAGAAAGGTAATTTTGTTTTCACATTGTGATACTGATCAGGGTTGTGGGATGTTGTTGTCGTGCTTTCTGGAACTACAGCATACTGCCCACATGCGATAAGATGGGCCTACATCCCAAAGATAGATAGATAGATAGATAGATAGATAGATAGATAGATAGATAGATAGATAGATAGATAGAGATAGTGAGGTAGGTAGGTAGGTAGGTAGGTGGGTAGGTGGGTAGGAAGATAGATAGACAGACAGACAGACAGGCAGAGACAGACAGACAGACAGACAGAGAGCTTGCAGTTCACTTTGCTTACACGATCAGTTTATCTTTATAATACAACTTTAGCATTACAGGTACACCTTTTTACAGGTAAACCCTTGTTTAGCAACTATCTTGTTTAGCAACCATGCACAGTTACGACAGTGATGAAAAAGCAAGTTGGTGACAAATCTTGGCATTTATTTCTTTTATAGATCAGTAAAGCAAAGGCAAGCAGCCATGGCTTCACTTAGCAATTGCCTTGCTTAGCAACCACAATTGTTGGTCCCAGTTGTGGTTGTTATATTAAGATTGCCTGTTCTGGAATTCTGAACTGCAAGAATGTATTTTGGCATGTTTGCTTATAGAGCTTGAAATTTTGTGTTTGGTTACATAATTACTTGAATAATAAAGTCCCAATGATGCCAATTTTACTATTTCTGATTGTTTGGTGATGAGCAATTTGAGATAAAATCTATCAAGATAGATAGACCTCAGCTGAGACATTTGCACCAGGAAACCTGGGATTCATTCAATATACACTGATCTGTGATTAAAATTCTACATAGATGGATGTTGAAAACTTAATCCAGATACAGGCACTTTAAGCTAAAGCAAAACTCTTAACGTGAATTAATTTTGAAGGCTCAGATTTGCTGTTTGGATTATTCCTGGAATAAGCCTTAAATCTGAATATTTAAGTTTTAGTGGTGATAAGAAAAATGTCTGTAAAGAGAAGAGTACCATGCAAGCTCTATCCATTCCTGAGTACTGTATTTTTCAGAGTATAAGACGCACCTTAGTTTTTGGGGAGGAAAATAAGAAAAAAGCTGATTGGCAGGTAGATCAGCCTCCTGGAATACCCCCAATCAGCTGTTCCCAGAGGTGAATTTTAGCAACAGATTCCTTGGTTGTGAGCTCTGTGTCTTGCTTTTTTTTTTTTTTTTTCTTTTCTTTCTGCCTCTGAAACTTCTGAAACTCTGTTTCAGAAAAAACTTTTTCCTGCTTCTGAAAGCCTCTGAAACAGAGCTTCAGAAAAAAAGCCTCTGAAGCCCTGTTTGGGGGCTTTTTTTTTCCTGAAGCTCTGTCTGGGGGCTTCTTTTCTGAATCTTCGTTTCTGATGCTTTTTTCAGCCTCTGAAACCTCCATTTGAGAAGCTGGGCAGGGCTACATTCGGAGTATAAGACGCACCCAGTTTTCCACCCTCTTTTTGGGGGGTAAAAGGTGCATCTTAAATTCTGAAAAATATGGTATATCAGATTTGGTCATGGTGATAAATCCCTTAATATATTTTATGTAAGACTAACTTGTTTCAGGAAAGTTCAGTTCACCCACTTAATGAACAAAGCAGGTTTTATGAGACTGGTGTATGTGACTCCCTTTTTAGTGCATTTCCACTGATGGCTATTTGTATTTCTTGGCAAAACTCAAGGAATGAAAGTGAATTTGGTGTAATGATGAAGCTGTTGGCCTTGAATTTGGGAAAGTACATAAGGGTGAATATAGATCTATAAATCGATGAATAAAAAAATGATGAACCACAGACAGTAACAAAATATGCTTGAGACCAATCTGTTTGAAAGACTCTGCAGGACTGAAGATTTAGTTCCAAAAAAATATGCAGGAGTAGAAACACAGCAATTGTTTGCAACTTTTTAAAGTGGTTGCATCTTTTTCCAGCATCACATAGATTCTGGGAAAAGACTTGGCTTGTTTAAAGCAATATTTAAAGTGTTGCTGTGTTTTCACATGGTCTAAAGAATCATTTTGGAATTGAATTTGAAGAATTGCAGAGTTCTATCTTTTATGATAGATTTTAATTACTCTATATTTTAATTATGATCTTGTAGATTATATTTTTCCTGTATGTTTGTTAGGCTCATCTTATACTGCTTTGGAAAGAGATGCACAAAATAAAACCAATAAATTGTTACTGGAGTTTATTCCCCCGGCTTTACTTCAATTCTGTAAGGGATCATAGGTTCATTACTGAGTTCTGCTATACAAGCAATATAGAACATAATCAGATAACTTTAAAGTTATCCGATTATGAGATAAGAACTAGGTTCTTTAATAATTTCTGAGCAGTTGCATGATTTATTGCTTCAGTTCTTAGATTTATAGAGAGAGGGGTAGGGGTAGAGGTAGAGGTGGAGAGGGAGAGGGGGGAGAGAGAGAGAGAGAGAGAGAGAGAGAGAAAGAGAAAGAGAAAGAAAGAAAGAAAGAAAGAGAGAGAGAGAAAGAGAGAGAGAGAGAAATGAACATATGTTTCAGCTTCCTTCCTATAATCAGGCCATCTTCTACATGAGAGCAAACAATGATGTAAAATGGTACTAGCTTAAACATTATTCAAGTTCCTGTTTATTCAGTACTGTCTCAAACTCTGACTGGAAAACATTTTGGGAAAACACCTCTGCTGGTAACTTTAGTCCAAATCCCAATAAAATAAGAACATTCAGATTGAGAACTAAAACTCATTTACCTAGAGATAGAGAAAAAAAAACAACAACCATTGAACTCTTTCTACTTGTTCCTTTCAGCCAATTATTGGGAATTCTGAGATAGGAGTCCAGTTTTGTTCACCAGAATCTTTTCATTTGTAGGGGGGGATTGAGATTCAAGAGAGGCTGTCTGCTTGGGGTGGATGGGGGTGGGGCTTGAGGCAATAATTTGCATACATTCTTCCCATTCCCTACAACTTTAGGGTTGCTTCCCTTGATCAACAGTATTTTCAGTTCAGCTAGAGAAACTTTTCACAGCAGAGAAAGGAAGAGGAATCGGTGAAAATTTCTGTTATATGATCTTCCACTAGCTCCACTGGAAGTCCCTTGAGAATAATGAAGCATACGGGATCCCACGCAACTCATTCTAACTGAAAAATCTACTCCAATGTAGAAGAACCTGCCTAGAGGAACATTATGAAAATCTCTACCATGACAGTTTTACAAAGGAAAAAGAATAGCTTCAGAAGAGCATAGACCACCCTATTCTTCAGCAAATAGTTGAAACTGTATTATTTCTAGATTGTTCACAATTGACAGTTTTAGGAGGAGAGCTAAGAGAAATAATAATGAAAAAATAAGAGAAATTGTTGTTAACAATAAACAATATTTAGAACATTCTACAATCTACATGATGAATTTATAGAGATCTCTACAAAATGTTTGAACTGAATAAAAACAAAACTTTGGCAACTTGAAAAATGCACCTTTTAAACCCTTGAGATAATATCTCAAATATATTAGAAAGATAAAATGGGACTCTATAAACACGATCATCTTAAATTAGGCACTCAAATTGGAAGCCCATCATGACAACATCGCTATACAGTATAGCATAATCCCAACCTTCTAACTTTTCCTGTTCTTCACAGAAGCTGCATCCGTGCAAGCAGTAAGGTTTTTAAATATATCTTCTTGCAGTCACTTAGGCGATGGAAAATCCTGAAAATCATGGGTGTTTCTCTTTAAACAATAATTTTCCTTCATAGAATTTCTCCATCTAACCCACTGAAACCTGCTGTTTTAAAAGGGCTTGAGACACACAGCTATTCCTAGCACCTAAACAAGTCATTATTATGCATAAATTCCACCTTACAATACTCAAAATAAAGAGAACAGCAAGCAAAGCATTTTTCTTTTATTTAAAAAAAAACTACAGCCTGTTTTAATTGCATTCAAGGACTTAATTCTGCCATTCTCAGCCAAAATTGCATTAGATTTGGGATGCTTTCCGACATCTGGTAAAAGTCCCTGCAGTACAAAAACCCCACAACTTAAATATACTGATGCTTCACTCTATTTGTTTATTACTTTTAATGAAAATCTTTTCCCTGATACTATTAAAAATGGGAATCAATAACAATAACAACAACAACATCAACCTGCTGTTTAGCAATCTTTTCCTGTATTGGTGAATACTTGGCAGCAGTCTCCCTCGACCCAAGACAGAGGCCATTGTTAAGGCTATAACACATTTACATATTTTGCAATAAAACATCAGTTATTTGCATTACTGTGTCAAGTTTTATTTGATTCTTTCACCTAAAAATGACTCATTTTCCTTTCTTGTATTTTTTTTTTAAAAGCCAAACTACTCTAAGCTTGTTTGAGAATAATCAAAAATTGCCCATTTAGCTAGAAGTCATTTTCTTTTCAAAAGGCAAATGTTATTTAATCTTTCAGCTGCTCATTGTGCCATCATAAATACTTTCTTTTCAGCACAGT